GCTCAGCAAAATGTCATCCGTCAAGTTGTCGATGAATCCATCCTTTCATTTAATGATCAGCCTACCTGATATGCATTTCACATGSCTCCATATCGCTTTAATGGGAATCAATGGAAAGCAAATAATGCTGCGAGCCTGTAGGATGCATTTATGATAGATGGGAATGTTAATTTTGTAATACGTACAACTATGTTTAAGAACGTGCTCTTGTGTCGTATACACCTGCATGGCACCTGGGATAGAGGATGCCTCACGTACAAGACTCCTACTTGCTTTGTCTTCATAATCGAAGGGGTGGGGGGACTAAGTGAACAAGACAGAAAGAAAGGAGACAGCAGAAATTACAAAAAATAGAGACAGAGGGAAAAAGAGCCAATTAATGAAAGATGATGAGAAGGAGGAGATGGAGAGATGAAGTCTCAGAAAAGGATAAAGAGAAGCTGCCGAGAGAAAAGGGGCAGCGGGCGCATTGGCCACAGGACGCTGCTTCAGTTAAACAGTGATTTCATCATGTGATTTTGGGGGTGGGGTGTCTGTGGCAGCTCTAAAACACATAACTTTTCCCGAAGTGAAAATCAAATATTAAAAATGACAGGCCTTATAAGTGTGCTGAGTGAGCTCGGGTCACGGAGGGAGGGAGGTGCGGGCAGCTTGTCAGCTACTATCTGTCAGGGCGAATTAGAAACAATCAGGGCCGAGTGAAAGGGAAGGTGATTGTTATTAAGCGGCGGGGCCCTGTGAGCGGGCTCCCCAGATGTGGCCGTGCATATAAAAGAACAGGAAGCCGGCAGTTTAATTCAGGAAACTTGCCGAGGAAGGCGAGCAATGCCACAAAGGAGGTGAGGGTGAGGGGGGGCGGAGAGTGGCAGTGGGCGCTGGGAAGAAGGACAGAGGATACAAGGGGGGATGGGTTTCTTGTTCCTAATATGCTGGAAGTTACTTTGATGAGGTCTTTTGCGGAAATTTATATTGACTTATTTTCTTCTGGTCATATATCACTGTCCACATATGGCAAAAATATACATTGACCAGGAGCTCAGGGAGAAGGTAGAAGGGAACAGCACAGGTGAAGTCTAGAAGAGTTTCCCATTACATATACTGGTGCTTCTGTGTCACCAAACCCCACCTTAGAAGTCTTTTTTTTTCACTTCCTAAAATGCTTGAAGTGTTAGGTTTGGTACTGTCTAATGCAAACAATTACATTTACTAAATGACTTAGGAGTTCTCCATTCCTTCTAAAACTCTTACCTGACTGACCAACACAGATTTCTACCAGGGATTAGGAATGATTGGATTAGAATTTGGAGCTGGTTGATGTGTACAATATGTCGGTCAAAGGGTGGRTGCTGAGATTTGAATGACAGGGAGTGACAACTGTCAAGAGGCTTTAGCCTCAAAGGCAGCCTGGCTGTTGTGACACTTTGATAACCACACTAGCACAAAATCTGGCAACAACTCATAAAAAAGCACCACTTGATGTTTTAAATTGCCTTTTAATTTGTTATATATCTAACAAGCTTGAATATTAAAGGTTTATTTGACTATACTTGGAGCCAATCATCATTCAGCTCTCCGACGGAAAGTCAAGTGGATCTGATGTATCTAAAACGGTTTCACTTAACACTAGTTATGTGAAATCAATGTGACACGTGGAGGCATAAAAAGAGATGAAATGAAGGGGATTGTTAAGACAGCTTCTTTCAAATAGTGCTTCTGTGCTGGAGCATGAAGGGCTTTGATTTCTGTTTATTTTGTAGTGAGATATAATAAATTATCCCTCCCCTTAAGAATCACTGATTATCCACTGGGTTGAAATAAAGTAGACTTGTTACATGCTCTCTCTCCCTCTTGTTCATTCCTGTCGTCTTTTTTTTTTTCATGGTGATCAGTCGAACGCTTGCTTAACATGATCCGTCTCTAGTTTCCACCTCCCGGCTTTTTCTACTTCGTTGCCACTGCTGATGTAGCGGAGGTTATGGTGTTAAACACAGAGCTGCTAAACGTTCCCCAAGGTAATAACAGTCAGTGTATATACAGTACGGTGCTGTAACAGGAAGTTTATGCCAAGTGTGGAAGAAGAATGGGAACGGGGGAGAACAAGGTGAGAGGAGAGGTAAAAGTGGGAACAGAATGAGATCAAAAGACTGATAAGCTAACAGAACGGTTCGAGAAGTAACCCTAACTGTGACACGAATTCACAGGTTCATGAATTGTAGTTGTGATTATAGGTTTAAGGCAGCCTTTAGTCATGTCTCTTTCATTTATTGATCCGCTGGTATTTTCACTTTRCAGGGAATTCTTTGGTTCAAATATATACCTGTAAATACAGTATTTTTTTTTACCTTGTATGCTTATGTGAAGCTTACTGATGTGGTTACAGTTAGTGGGGTTATCTGAGATGGCTCTTGCAAAGAGAAAAATTATTTACTTGATATTTTTTTTATCTGAAATTGTTCAACCTATGCAGACACTGAGGGGTGGTAACAGCTCCCTAACTCCCCTCTTTCATGGTGGTTCAGTTATTGTGTACCAGTTGTAACAACACAGTCAGTGATGTGTTCACCTTATATTTTCTGGAGGAGGACAAAAATTGCAGCAGACTCTGTAACATATGATACAGCAGGATTAATCATTGGGGAATTTTAAGCAAGAACAAMATTTCTGTAGTGAGGTTGTAATGGTTTATAATCATGGTGACAATGTGTCATAGTTATAAGTGGAGCGTGGGGAAGCAAGTTGGCAATGGTAGTAGATTWTCAATAACACAGTGCTGACATGCATTGGTGTGGCCTGGTGATCATAATTTGACGCAGGGATTTATCATGCTGTCCTTATGCTTAGGCTATGCTGCCATCCCAAACACCACATTTCTCCATCTTCACCCAGGACCTTGACAAGTCACTACAACCTCAAAGACCTTGCCAAGACCCTACAAAGAGCGTTCACTGTCTAGCTAATTTTTATTTATTTATTATTTAATTTTCTAAATGTCAAAATGGGGTCATTGTCTGATGTGTAGGGGACCTAACTTGTGCATATGGTGTTGTTGCTGAGATGCCATGGCCAATGATTCTTGGTCTGATATTCATTTGTCTTTGTGACATTTTCAGAATCCCACCTGAAGTGATTCTGTAGCATTTCTCCAAACACAGTTTCATGTTTTAAAATTCCAAATTTCCAGTTTACTATTGTTATTTTCTTCTAGCTCATCTCGTGTTTGTAGCTTGACATGGTTTACCTCAAAACCAAAGAAGGCAAATTCTTTCAACAGAGAGAAACAAAAAACTTGTTTTGACATACTTTTCAAAAATGTTTGAAACTAAGTGTCATCTTGAAATTCCAAGATCGACTCCAATGACTGAATCACAACTAGTGTGTAACCAGGTGCAAAGAAGGTTAAAGTAGGAAAAAGGAAGGGTAGGTGTAAGATGAGTTGTTGAAAGTTTTGCCAAAAGAATATGAGGGAAGACTATAGCTCTTGTTCAATAGCAACAGTAAGGCATACGATCGTGGCCATGTTCAACCACCTGCTTTCTGAAATGAGCAATTACACAGAAACAAAGCATTTGTTGACTGAAGCTTTTAGCTGAAATTCAATTTTGCTTTGCTTTTGAAACAAAATGCAGAGCATTTAAAATCATAATGATTGGCTTTACACATCGTTGTCAATGGCTGTTAGGGGTAATTTTAGCAAGAGCACAACATTTAATTCCATCATGTGTTACATTTGAATCAGAGCCTGACTGCCTGTACGTACTAACGTTTAAGTTAGACTTTCCGGTTAAAATGTGATGCCTTCGCTATTCCATGAGTTTCCATTCTCTGCAGCAGGCTTGCCTTGTACCACACACACATACACACACACACACACACACACACACACACACACACACACACACACACACTGATCACTGTAGTGGGAAGCAAAGTGAAACAGGGTGACCGTAAAACCAGAATGGCCTTCACTTAGTGTTCTCTGCATCCCCCACTCTTGTTCTCCTTTATACACCTATTCCTCTTCTTTTTTTTATTTATTTATTTTTTTTCCCTGTACCATGAATAAATTTAGTCTGTCCCGGACATGAAAATGTCAAATACCTAAAATACACCTAGGCTAAATAGCATATTAATTTTTAATGCCTGCTCATCCTATGCTGCTATTCTCATATCAGGCCTGTCTGCCAACAGCTGTTGCTGGCTCTGTAGCTGGGAATTTATCATCCATCTAGCTAAAGGAGATGTGTGTGTGTGTGKGKGGGGGGGGGGGGGKAAAAAAAGAAATGGGAGACATTGTTCAGACGATGAGAGACAAGAGGATGTACAGGTCTGTGTTTTCATGGATTCCTACCTTACATTTATATGCTCACACCTTTACAAATTCCTGCATTGATATATGAGTGAAATTCAATTACGCTAATGCCAAACATAAATTGTTGAAGATTCCTTCCTTTTTGTTTTTTTTTTTTTTTTTTTTTTTTTTTTTGGGTGCCGGGTTGCAGATCAGCGTTTGTTCTACATTAAAAAAGAAATGAAGAGAAGAGTGGTGACATTGACACTGGAGGTAGTGACATTGGGGAGAGCGGCAGAGGGAGACGAGATCCACTGAAGCAATGTGCCAGTGTGGGTGTTGAATGCCACCCATGTGCGTTTTTAGGTGGCATGTGGTGGATGATTATCATAGATTATCACAATCCAGATTGTTACAAGTTCTGTCTGCGCACATAGCAGCAGTGTACTGTAGCTGTGTGACTGTGTGTGTGTGTGTTTTGGTTTAAGACAGTGCCTTTGGGGATAAGACTAAATGGTGGGTGAATGACGAACAGTTGGAATGTGTGAATGTATGTGTGCATTTAGCTGTGTGTATATGTGTCTTGTTCTTTTATCCATACAGTGTGACAAAGCAAATAACAAACAGGGTTTAGAAGAAAAAATGTGAAGCTGAGGAATTTAATTTTTAATTTTTTGCTAAGTTAGGATGTACGAATCTAGTGTGAACATACCTTAGTACGCCACCTGCATACTGGTGCACAACCTGTTGGGATCAAGAGGCCTCTCTCCGTCACTGCTCGCTGCCTGCTGCTTACTGGAATGGCCACCTAGAGGGAGACACAGAGGAGGGGAACGATTAGAAGAAGAGGTGATAATGAAATATAGTGAGAGGTGAGGAGGGAAACGGACAGAAGATGGAGCGCTGAGAAGAAGACAGTGACGGGTTGAAAGGAAGACAAGTATGAAGTGGTGGGGAGGGGGATCGATGTCAAGATGGAAATCTAACAAATTCAGTAAGCGCTGCTTCAGAGGTCAAGGGAATGCGGCAGAAAAAGGTTAAAGATGAAATCAAAGCCGGTGTGCTGTGGTGCCCGGAGGCACGGCTGAAAATCTATCCCTCCAAGGCAAGGCCACCGCTGACGCGAGGCAGACAAGAAGCTAAATACTGCATGCCACTCGGGGATCTTTCATTTTCCACCGATCAATAAGGGCTTATATTTATCAGGGCCTCCGAGCCGTTGCCACGTCTGACAACCTCCACTTCATTTTTGCACTCCTCCCTGTCTGTTTTTTCTTCTCCAGCTCCTCCTCTTCTTTTCCTCCTCCTCAGCCTCGCACACTAAATTGAGACCCATCGACCATGAAAAGGGGCAGAGACCCTGGATTGCCATTAACCCCCTTCGTGTCACTAGACTAGTCTAACGCACACACTGTCACACACATACGCGCACAAATGCCCCGGAGATACAATTCAGTTAAAGGTCTGCCTCCGCCCTTTTTGAAGAAACATGCCTTATCATTATGGCCTTGGCAGAGACACCAGCACCAGGGTCCTTTGTTTCTACAGCAGCCCTCATCACCAAAACACACATACACATAATCTCGCTTCAATATAAATGCACAGGCAAAAATACAGTGATTTCTAACACTTTAAAAATGTGTTAACTTTTTTTTTTCTTGCCAGATTTTCATCAAATAAGTAAAATGTCAAATCCCAAATTAGGAGCATTATGAGAAGCAGAAGATTGGGTTTAGGGGTCTGTGCGAAAATAACTGGCTGCCTAATCATCTGCACAACAATATTTGCTGTGAGGCATTCTAAATAGATTATCGCTAGTCCATCTGTGTCATCATTGATTTATAAGGCATTAAGCTGCTTGGGGAAGAGATAGGGCCTCGCCTTCTTTGCTGTTAAAGGGGCTTCTTGTTAAAATCAGGGGCATGGCAGTGGAACAACTGTGGCACTTGTCTAACCTCCCCTTTAATCGTTAGGCAGGAGGAAGTGAAAATAGGACGGGCGTATCTGTTTTTTTTTTCTTTCTTTCTTTCTTTTTTTTTTTTTTTGTTCCCAGATAGGGAAAGTATGAATCCAAAATTTCAGCATCTTTTTGTTTGGCAATACAAAGAGATTTTGGAGGAGGGGAGGAAATACAGAAAAATAAAGAGGAGAAACAAATAGCACACACAAACACACGTGCATACACACACATGCAGAAAAAAAAAAAAAAAAAAAACAAGGGACATCATTAACATATGAATGCTATATGCAAATGGTAAGAAGAGAGCAGATGTTGTTGCATTTAATTGACCTATATGTGAATTGCATCCAAACCTTTCAGTGTGTTTTCTGGGCCCACTGAGTACAGTTTTGACTGGCTTCCTAGAACCACTGAACATTCAACCAGGGTGCACAGTGATTTCATCAGTGTTTGAACATAAAAAGGAAAATAATTTAACATTTACCTAACTAGAAAAAGCTTACACATCATAGGGAAGATGTTTAAAAGAATATACTTTTGTGATTCATTCACTGGTAAATTTCACTCATGACGTCTGCTGAAATATGTCAAACTGACCTGCCTTATTTTATCCTAACAGACAGTGGTTTAAAATAACTAAATGCATTTATGCTATTTTATATTTCCCAACCGTTAAGAGACATATACTGGATTACCTTTACAAAAAGAGTCCAAAGAGCCTATAATATAGTTCCATTTCAAGCACTCAATGCCGGATAACAGAAATGAAACAGTGAAAATTTGATACTAAAGTTTCAGAACAAGAGGAAAGCTGTAAGAGTACCTTTTATTGKCTGGCCTCTACTGAGACCCATAAAATCATTTCTTAGAGTGGTCTTACAGATCTCCTCTGCGTAACCTTTTTTTTTTTTTCACTTTGCAGACACATTTACTAAAGATGTTTTCAGGTCTTGCCATTTAAGTTGTTCCTTACAGGAAAGAAAAATTTGAAACAAGTGTTGATTTCACATTGYGAACCTGGGTTTTGCCTAGACTTGGAGTTTTGTTTGAAATTAGATATTTTCTATGACACTTTTTTTGTCTTTAGTTTGAGTTTGTACTGCATATCCACTGTGAAAGCTTAGATAAACTGTTTTAAATCCTACATGAGAACACCAGATTTTGCCAGTAATTAAACATACCATATTAAACAAAATAACTGTGCAAAATATGATCATTATTATCTTGTATGCAGTTTCTTATCAGATTGAATTAAACTGTAAACAAGGATGAAGAATTTTATGATTCCTCTATCTTTTCATACATCACAGAGAGAATGAAAGAAGGCCTACCAGTGGGCTTTTTGTGTTTTTTATTATTATAGTTTTATTTATTTATTTTTTTGTAAAAAGTTTTTTTTTTTTGTAGGCACTTATATGGTA